TATTGTTACTCAGAGTTTCACGCTAAACGATCACATAGCGTGAAACTGAGTAACCACGACATGTTTTTTAGGTTCTGTTTTAATATTTCAATATCGCTTTATAATAATTGATATATTGTGCACTATTTTAACTGTGAAAATATTTTATTATTATTGTATTATTATGTTATTAAAAACATTTTCTAGATCTTACTTTACTTCAACAGAATGTCAGACATATTTCGTTGTAGTCGATCATGACAGGGTCGTTTTATTCCTTAAAGTTGATATATAAGGTAGACAGCTTATTTATTTCTAGGTAAATTGTTATACCCCTTAATTTACGCCACGTCATTTAAAGAAACATGTCTCTGGAAACTTTTGCAACGGTTACAATTATTATTATACTTTACAGATTGGAAATATATTTAGGCAGCAATTTATGGGCCCTGGCTCTACCCATAGGCCTGTGAAAGGTCCTACTTAAAAGTGAAAAATAAGCCCTTTAAGTGCTCAAAATTCATCTCACGGCAACCATCAGACCACCGATCTCGAGATTCTTCGTCCTTTCGGGCCTTGCCTCGGAGAGACACCTGTTTTTTGGCCTCCCTCACAGACATTTTTTAGATAGACGCCCTTGGAAATGTTCACTTGTGATGCACGTAAGCTGCTACAGTAATATATGAAAAAATGAATTTGTAGTGCACGTAACTTGCTACAGAAGTATTTGTAGTCCTGTCTCCCGCAAATAAATCTTATCACAAGTAAAGGGGCATAACTCATTATAAACTTATAGTTAAATTCAGACCACTTTTAATTCATACCACGCGACCCAGAGCCGTATATAGAGCTCTATATACGGCTCTGACGCGACCCCTTGTAACATTTACATGTAATACATCTTCACAATGGTCAAGCTATTACTGCATCTTATACCTTGACTGCAAAGACTACTGTTCTTATATATAGTTTGAAAAAGGAGCGATTAAGTTTATTAGCGAATACAGCCAATCAGAACCCTCCACCAATTCTAAAGACATTTTTTACAGTCTTTGTCAGGGCTCTTTATTCAGTGGCATAGTGACAAAATACTGTCAAATGTAGGATAAGGGTGCATATGATTTTGTTAAAGGAAAATTCATAAAATATTCAACAGTAGCCTTTATTTTTCTGGGATTACACTTTGAATCAATAAGGCAAGAAAAGGCAAAAGCTGACAGCACTTTATTTGTAGTAATATACATTATACAGTAGATATACAAAAATAGACAAAATAGTTAACAAGCGCCATATAAAACTTTTACTCAGTAATTCTCTAATATTGAAGGTAGAAAAATACGATTTGATCTCACTATTGTAATTTAGGTATACTCCATATAAAATACATAAAAACATAATTCTTTTTACAATTTAATAACAAAGTCAGGCTTTCAAATAATCAGTGTAGTACCACAATAGGGTGCTACAACATTCCTGATATTTCAAAGCATAATACAGAATGTTATAAGATATTAGAGTAAATAATAACATATAACAGTATATACTATAATATTACATTAAGTCATTACATATTACAGTATATAATAACAGTATACAATGAATTATTACAATATGTGATAACATAACAGTATAAACTATAATATTACATTAAGCCATTACATATTACAGTACATAATAACATATCAGTATACAATAACATTCTAGTATTCTAGTATGTAATAACTTCTTACAGTAAGATTCACATAATTCAGTGTGTATTACTGTAAAAGCAATAACATATTACAGAATGAAAAAAAACATTCTGTAATAAAATGACTTAAATACAGTATGTAATAACTTATTACAGTAAGCCATTACATATTTCAGTGTGTATTTGTATTCATCAACTGTAAGTGTATGGCATTTCAAATTATAGTATGTCATATTACAGTATGCAATTATAACAGTATGTAATTAGATATTACAGAATGAAATTACATATAACAGTATGCAATTACATATAACTGTATGCAATTACATATAACAGTATGCAATTACATATAACTGTATGCAATTACATATAACAGTATGTAATTACATATAACTGTATGCAATTACATATAACTGTATGCAATTACATATAACAGTATGCAATTACATATAACTGTATGTAATTAGATATTACAGAATGAAATTACATATAACAGTATGCAATTACATATAACTGTATGCAATTACATATAACTGTATGCAATTACATATAACTGTATGTAATTAGATATTACAGAATGAAATTACATATAACAGTATGCAATTACATATAACTGTATGCAATTACATATAACTGTATGCAATTACATATAACTGTATGCAATTACATATAACTGTATGCAATTACATATAACTGTATGTAATTACATATAACTGTATGCAATTACATATAACTGTATGCAATTACATATAACTGTATGCAATTACATATAACTGTATGTAATTAGATATTACAGAATGAAATTACATATAACAGTATGCAATTACATATAACTGTATGCAATTACATATAACTGTATGCAATTACATATAACAGTATGCAATTACATACAACAGTAAACAATTACATATTACAGGATACAATAACATATTACAGGATACAATACCATATTACAGTGTTCAATGACACATTCCAGTGTTCTTACATTACAGTAAGAAATGTTAAATAGGATTGTACAGTAAGATATTACAGTAAACAATAACATATAGGATTGCTACCCATACCAATAGCAGTTTGCTATTACAAAATCATTGTATTTATAACAAAACACATATTTACATATTGCACTTACAAAAATTATATCTTTATTTTCATGTTTTAAGATAATATTATCTTAATAATATCATCTAGATTAAAACATTACAAATAGGTCAGCCTACTTGATATTATTTCCAATATTACTTTAAAAAATTTATAATAATTATATGAAGATAGAGCAAGATAATGTCCAAAATATGATTTATAAAGGGAAAAAAAGTTTTTGAATTAATCCTTTATCTTTAAAAAACACTTTGCAATTCCTTTAGATTGATAGCACTTGAGCAAGGATATAAACTATGTAAAGTAAAATAGATGTAGACCTTAGAATTTATATTGAGCATGTAAAATACAAAGAATGAGACGTTATAAAGAGAAATGGATTTATAATAGCACTTTATGGACATAACAAATTGACAATAAAAATACCACATTAACAAATACACTCTGTGAACACTTCAATTGATGCCATTAAAAGAATAACTCACAGAACTGTGGCATGATTCTAGTTGGCCAATGCATGCAATTTTCAAATGATTTAATTAATTAATCAGAATTTTGATCTACTGGATTAATGGTTATATATAACAGCTTTATAAAACAATAATGAATGAAGTGACAGTTTTCACATAGAAATGTTGCGAAACTTTAACCAGTGATAGTTGTTCCATAAGACTATATCTATATATTAATGCTATGTAAAAATGATTGAAAATCAAAGAACCAAACTAAAGAGGCATTTCTATGTTATTCACTTATCACAAAATAAAGGAATGTGCTAACTTGTGCTAATAATGTGGCTGTATATTAGTATTAGTATATCTATATATTAGTTTGTATGTTTACTATTAGTTTATATATATTTGATTCTATTATATAAACATAAATAAATAAATAATTTAATATTTCAATCAAAAAAACTAAAAATCCAAAACAGCTATCATTGAAAATTTAAAAATTCTGAAAATGAATTTCATTAACAACCTTGATCGAGATCTAACACTGTGCCAAAACTTGAACATAACAAACTTCATTTAAATCTTGAGAAGAAACTTGATTTGGAGACAAAATAAAGTAAATTTATTAAACAAAGTTTATAAAAGACTATTATTGCATTAAACTGCTTATAAAATTTTGTGGAAGAAAAATATATACTCCATGCCAATTTCAAGTCTGCCCTATTCCAATGTCAGAACTTGCATCGACTGATCATAGTGAACCTATTCCAATGTCAAAATTTACATTGACTGATCATAGTGAACCTATTCCAATGTCAGAACTTACATTGACTGATCATAGTGAACCTATTCCAATGTCAGAACTTACATTGACTGATCATAGTGAACCTATTCCAATGTCAGAACTTACATTGACTGATCATAGTGAACCTATTCCAATGTCAGAACTTACATTGACTGATCATAGTGAACCTATTCCAATGTCAGAACTTACATGCCTGATCATAGTAAACCTATTCCAATGTCAGAACTTGCATTGACTGATCATAGTGAACCTATTCCAATGTCAGAACTTACATTGACTGATCATAGTGAACCTATTCCAATGTCAAAATTTGCCTTAAACAACTGACAGTATAATGTACTATTTGTACCTATCTATCAAATATAATAAAAACTAATAAACTATTATCACAAGCCTTCATATTGAGTATTAATAGCAGCTGAAGAACTAGCTTGTTGTTGTATTGGAGGTACTACTGTACTTATCTTCTTCTTTTTACCCTTTTTACTTTCTTCTGGATAATCACTAGACAAATACAAGATCATCATTAAAGGGACAAATTAACCATTTTCGGGGTTGATTTGGATCTTGAATAAATAAAAAGACTCTTCAGAAATACTCAGATGTCGGATATCACAGAGTACTCTGTACTAGAAATGTACAAAAAATTCAGTCCTCAACATAAGAATTTCAATTTCTATTTCTTCATATCTTTTCTTTATATAGCACAGTCTCTACTCTTAAACGCAAATGATATTGGACACATGAATTTGTAGGGTCAAATTTCGATGGTGAACTGTAAATACTATTACTGATAAGCTTAGCTAAAACAATTCCCGTTTCTGACACTAAAGTACGATAGATCTAACAGATCCCGAATCTGTCCCTTTAAATCTGCTTTTCCCACTAAAAACTAAATTCAGTTATCGATCTGTATCACTTTTCAAACATCACATTTCGTTCAAATTTTTGTCCAAAAAAGAAGTTATACTTACTTAAAGAAAGGTAAAACAGCTATAAGTTTTTCTTTGCTAACATTACTAGATAGATCAGCATTTTTCTCCAGTAAATGATTGATCACTTTACGTAAATAACTTTGTAACATTTTTCTTCTAGCTGTAACAACCTTTGGATCCTATAATAACAGATATGACTATACATAATATAATAACAAATATAACCATATGTGATACAATAATAAATATAACCACACATAATACAATAACAAATATAACCATACATACCACAATAATAAATTTCACCATACATTATACAATAATAAATATAACCATACATAATACAATAATAAATATAACCACACATCATATATAATGTAATATAATAATAACAGATATGACTATACATAACAAATATAACCATATGTGATACAATAACAAATATAACCACACATGATACAATAACAAATATAACCATACATAACACATCATATATAATGTAATATAATAATAATTATAACCATACATGATCCGATAATAAATATAACCATACATGATAGAATAACAAATATAACCATACATGATACAATAAAAATAAATAAAAGTATAACAAAACGACAAAGTACAATAACAAATATAACCATTCTGTTATTCCTTTAAAGCAGGATAATTGTAGATAAATGAAGTCAAATCTTTTGAAAATAAAACTAATTCAGTTATAAATTTCATGAACAGAATAAAACCTACCTTGCTACCAATAGTTTTCTTCGGTGGAAACTCAAACTTTTCTATTAATGGGTAGACCTTTTTTAATCTAGTATGTACATCTAGAAACTTACTATATCTTCTATATACATTCCATTCTTCATCTCGGATACGTACATATACCTGATTATATAGGAGACATATTTAGAACATGATAGGACGAAATAATGCAACTAATCCTTGTAACAACTGGCCGAACCAATGTAAAATCAAGGAAATTTAAATTGTTATAAAAGATACCTACAAAATGGTGAAAAAGGCAAAATCCTCTTCTATTGAACACTGATTTTTCAGGTTTTTGTGCACATCAGATACATAATTTCATGTTTGTACACATTACTTAATTTTTAACAATATGAAAGAGTAATCATGAAGATAATTCTACTTTCAATTTTTTAATGGAATTTTAATAACTCTACATAATTTAAAATTTCATATATATATGAACAAGAAAGAAAAAGTGAAATGTGTCTATACCTGATAAACATGATGACTGTCTGTTTTAGAACCTCCAAGAAAGGCTGATGGTATCCAAATATTAATCAAACATCTAGATATTAATGAAGACTCTAGATCACCTGATAGAGAATCATCTGAAGACTGAGCATCATACGGTAACTAAAAGAGAATTTTATATTCCATTTCCTATATATCATAACTGTAGCTTAATGGGGAGGGTAACATACAATGTACTATATTACTATATCATAACAAGTACTTCATCAAAATCTGATAAGAAATATTTCTTTATTGAATTAAAAAGAGATTTTCTAGCCTTTTTGCATGCATCAGTACACTTTAAGCTTCAATTGCATATCAGAATATCTCTGGTTTCATTAAGTCAAGCAAAATCATAAAATGACACTGAATGACAAAGAATAATTCTCAAAACTAGCAAGTTTTAGTCTCAGAATGAATAAATAAATAATTTTGAATATATATATATGAGAGAATAGAACTGTTATACTAAAGCCTACTTACTGGTCCTCTAAGATCAGTTAATTCTTCTTTAAGATTTCTAATAACAGCTTCTTTACAATTTATCTGTCTATGTAATAATTCATTGAATTCCATCAGTTCACCATGCATTTCAGCTACCTACAATACATTATCATTAAGCTTATACAGAATATTATTATCATTATACAAAATATTATCATTATTATACAGAATATTATTATCATTATACAAAATATTATCATCATTATACAGAATATTATTATCATTATACAAAATATTATCATTATTATACAGAATATTATTATCATTATAAAAAATATCATTATCATTATAAAAAATATCAGAACAATTGAAGGAAATGAAAATGGTAGATACAGTACTGTGTGATTCTCATTCATTTCAAACTTAATAAGAACCAGGAATTGGTTTGGCATTTTAGGAAATCAAAAAATCAACGAAGATATAATATTTTGTTACCTGAATGAGTTTTTTCTCATATTCTGAGGCTTCATGACTATAATCTATAGATGGTTTGGCTGGTGGGATGATAGGTTGTGGATCTTCTAAAGTAATTCCTATATTTTCTACAATCATATGACAAATTTATTTAGCTTAGACTACATAATGTGCAAATTTCTTATAGACAAAATACTTGAGCTCCAGGGGCACTCCTCTAATGCTCTGATGCACAAAGTTCATAAGCATCAGACTATAGCAGGGCCAAATAAAACATAGCAAGAACAATTTTGAAAATCTACGGAGCCCCTAAGGCGCAATTGTAAACATATTTATTTATTATTTCGTTTAAACGAAATAATAATAAAAAGTGTTGAAAATTGCGCTTAAGGGGCTCTGTAAAAATGATTAAACAATAATTACATTAATTTAAAAACCTGTAAACAATATAAGAAAAATCTCTTGCATTTTTCATCATTTTGAAGCGAGTCAACAGAAAATGCAGATAATAAAAAAGTCAGAAATTACCCTGAGTATCATCTTTAGCACCTTCTGTACGTAATAACTGGACAGCATTAATATATTTTCTTAATTGATGTTTTAATAATTCATTCTCTCTGCAAATAATAAATCATAATAATCATACTATTAATTATTTCAACTTTATCAGCCACATTCTTCACATTGTCAAACTATTCCGGACTGCATCTTATACCTTGACTGCAATAACCCCCTTTCTTGTATCATTGAATTTTGTAAATGAAGCAATTGATTGGATTTACACTAACCAATACAACAAATAATTTCTTACTTTTGCAATGTTTCATTTTTGGCTATTTCTTTATCTTTACTGAGTTTAAAAGATATTTTCATTTCTTCTATTTCAGCTCTTAAAGTGGAACTAATCTCCATCTCTCTATCTAACATAGCTTTTAATGATCTAAAACACATTAATATTCTTTTAATTTGTCTGCAGTTATATAAGGAGTATAATCTATGTGCCATGACATTTATCAGTGGGGAGAATAAGTCTGTCATAGATATTCATATAAAAAGCAGTCAAAATGCCAATCTGAATAGTCTATAAAATGCTTAAGACAACTTAAAAGTTGACTCTAAAGATGAATTTTGGACCAAAGCAAAACAAAACAAACATGAAAACTATTGTCAAAACAAGGCTAAGGAAATTTTGTTGATGTCAGTAATCAACTTACTTGTTTTTCTCTTCAACTTCATCTTTTCTTAACATCATAGCTACTACAGCTTGTTTTAAATCTTCTATAAATAACAATATTACAGGTAAATAACAACTTAGATACATACCAGAAGATAAGCTTATAGATAATGATGTTTAATTTATATCATATCTGTATTAAATACATACCAGAAGATATAAATTCTGATCTATTATTTAATATTATATCTGTATAAGATACACACCAGAAGATATAAATTCTGATCTATTATTTAATATTAGATTAATACCAGAAGATATAAATTCTGATCTATTATTTAATATTAGATACATACCAGAAGATATAAATTCTGATCTATTATTTAATATTAGATACATACCAGAAGATATAAATTCTGATCTATTATTTAATATTATATCTGTATAAGATACACACCAGAAGATATAAATTCTGATCTATTATTTAATATTAGATACATACCAGAAGATATAAATTCTGATCTATTATTTAATATTATATCTGTATAAGATACACACCAGAAGATATAAATTCTGATCTATTACTTAATATTAGATACATACCAGAAGATATAAATTCTGATCTATTATTTAATATTAGATACATACCAGAAGATATAAATTCTGATCTATTATTTAATATTATATCTGTATAAGATACACACCAGAAGATATAAATTCTGATCTATTATTTAATATTAGATTAATACCAGAAGATATAAATTCTGATCTATTATTTAATATTAGATACATACCAGAAGATATAAATTCTGATCTATTATTTAATATTAGATACATACCAGAAGATATAAATTCTGATCTATTATTTAATATTATATCTGTATAAGATACACACCAGAAGATATAAATTCTGATCTATTATTTAATATTAGATACATACCAGAAGATATAAATTCTGATCTATTATTTAATATTATATCTGTATAAGATACACACCAGAAGATATAAATTCTGATCTATTATTTAATATTAGATTAATACCAGAAGATATAAATTCTGATCTATTATTTAATATTAGATACATAACAGAAGATATAAATTCTGATCTATTATTTAATATTAGATACATACCAGAAGATATAAATTCTGATCTATTATTTAATATTATATCTGTATAAGATACACACCAGAAGATATAAATTCTGATCTATTATTTAATATTAGATTAATACCAGAAGATATAAATTCTGATCTATTATTTAATGTTAGATACATACCAGAAGATATAAATTCTGATCTATTATTTAATATTAGATACATACCAGAAGATATAAATTCTGATCTATTATTTAATATCATATCTGTATAAGATACATACCAGAAGATATAAATTCTGATCTATTATTTAATATCATATCTGTATAAGATACATACCAGAAGATATAGATTCTGATCTATTATTTAATATTATATCTGTATTAGCTCCATCACCATCAGTTCTTTCATATCTATAAAACAGATATAAAGTTTTATTACTAGCATCTTACAAGAAGGGCAGAGGTGTTAAAGTAATATGTCATCTAAAAAATATATTAGATTTTATTGATCTTAAATAAGTTAGTCAATACAAACTAATTTTTTAAAATCACCTTGTAATGTTATAACTATTATATAATATAATATAATGTATATTTTGTATAATTATGATAATATTTTGAATAATGAACTATTAATATTTTGTATAATGATGATAATATTTTGTATAATGATAATAATATTCTGTATAAGCTTAACTAGCCGCTTTAACACTAGTATTCATCATTTATTATAATTGATTTATAAAATTAATTTGTTTTCAGATAACCTGATATGTCAAGGGTTTATCTCAAGTTAACAGAAAGTTGGAAACATGTGATTGAAGAATAATTACCCATTTGATATAGTATTGTCTAATCTTCTATCATCTTCTGAATGTATAGATACGGAATCACCTAATCAAAAACAGAAAAGAAAATAAATACATACATAATTAGCATTTTTGACTATTCTTGTTGAAATCATGCTGTATTTATTACATGATGGTTAAATTGGAAGTAGGAAATTTCCAAATCAAAATTGGAATTTTTGACAATGATAGCCAGCATCTTCTAGAATTACAGAAAATGAGTAAATGATGACTGAGTCCAGTTGCATCTGACTTTCTTCCTTACCTGATATATTAAAGGCAGGTTTTGATTTCTCTAGTGGTAAGAAACTATCATCTTCTAGAGGTTGTCCTGAACTTGTTAATGGAGTGAGTGTTGAGCTTTAATAAAAAAAACCAAGGTATTTAAAATCGTTATCTTTTAGTTAACTGAAATCTTCGAACTTCAGTTACTCAATCTGATTAAAAAACATGATTTGGTGCTTTATGCCTGTGATGTACCATTGTTATGCAATGCAGGATCATAGAGCCCTTAACCTAAGAACGGACAGTGATGTTTGTAGCTGAAAATTGTTCAATTATTGATTTAGGTGAAAGTTCAACTTACTTAAAATCAACATCTTCTGAACTAAATGATCCAACACTTGATCTTGATAAACCATCAGCTGATAGATTTGATGCTGAACTGACGTTACTAGATATAGATTTACCAAAAGCAGAGTTTTCACGTTTGACATATTCTGAATGCTGCATTTTCTGTATTGGAATGTTCACAACTTCTGACACACTTATATTCACAGAGTTTACTTCTGGAGTTATTTCCCTTTGTACTGTCTCTTCTTTTTTAGAGTCTTTTTTCTCCTTTTTGTTATTGAGTGTGTCTGCTTTATTTTTACTTTTCACTGGTGCAATATTATTGTCAATGTCTTCCTCGTCAAAACTTACAATATTTGCTATTTTCTTCTTCTTTTTCTTCTCTTTTCTTTTTTCTACAAAAGTTAACAATTCTTTGGTTAATTTTACAGACAATAGAACACTAAAAAAGCTTTAGTTTAAAATATAGCATGAATTGCAATTGTATTTTTAGATGCCATTTACCAAATTTAGCCAGTGTCAGCCTCAGTGTGTGTATTAATATTGTGCCTTATTGTAATCTTACACATTCTGATTAATTTACAGATCTTTTTTTAAGTGAGCTTCATTCATGAGCAAACTATTATCCAGGTCTCCATTTTTAAAGGAAATGGTTTGCAATTTCAGGTGTTTACTTGGGTCTTGAATATAAATGAAATACTCAATTAAACTTTTTCTATATATGTCTTTTCTATATATATGGCAAAGTCTTACGAAAAGACGAGTTGCCATTTTAACATATTTTCTTATTGTAAGATTTCTTTAAAAACAGGGTCAGTATTAAATCTTCATTGGTTTTCCTCTTGCACTAAGAAGAAAAAACATACACAAAATTGTCTTGCTGAACTATTTGAAGAAACCTACCCTGAACTACTATGGTGTCACCAGCTATAACAGGTTGTGGTTCTAACTCTTGTTTTTTAACAGTAGGATTTGATATATTACTAACATGTACTGTATTACTAGATTGATGTGTTTTATTTAGTTCTGTTCTATCTATAGTTATAGCAAATAATATAGAACCCAAGCCTGAAATTCAAAACAAATATCATTTCTATAATCTTATTAAAATTAGAACAGACAACCTTACAGTATGCGTTGAAGTTAGTTTTGATAACATAGCAACAAGGACTGACTCCTTGTGTCTTTTTTCAACTATTATAAGATTTTTAACGTGCAACAACTGCAGCACAACAGACCTGAGATCGGTATTTCATTTGAATTGCTGGTTTCATTTTGGTCCTATGTGACAAACATTAACCATTAACTAAGAGAAGAGTAAATACCCACCTGCTGCCATCATAGGCAACATGCTACTTCTTTCTTCATCTCGTAAAAACGCCCAATCTTCATAATATTGACTAAAACATACAGAATTATTTCATTTTTTAAATATATTACAAATAACATTTTCAAATATTGATCAGGAAGCTTAATATAAAGTATACTATTGCCAAAAGATTCGGAGAGGAGACAGCTTGCAGACAGGGTGCACAAACCAAATCGTGTATTTTCTGAACAAAACTGCAAAATTTGGTTATCTTCGTGAAAGGCTTAGCTCAGTCTTCATAAATAAAGAGGAAATATTGATTATGAGTCATAATTAAAATAGAAAATGAAAACTTTGAAAAAGTCATCTTACCACATCATAACAGTTTACATCAACTTGTGAATGATACACAGATAATCTGTAGAAGACTTGACCGTGAATAATCTAGCAGATAGGACACACATAACAAAATGTTCAATGCTTGTAGGACATTCATTCTTACCTTAATAAGTCAGCTTTCTCTAATAACATATGAGTATATCTTTCTAGTGAATGTTCATTAAAACTGGCACGTAACCATGCTCTACCTCTACCAGTATCATTCTCTATACTCTTTAAATTACTAAACCTCTGTATTTCATGTTTAGTTAGATGTTCCTTTACATAGTGCCAGTACACTGAAAATAAAATTGTTTCTGGTAAATTCGAGAATTATTTGTCTCACTGATGAAATTCTGCACAAAAACTTTTTCTTGAGTGCAAGAAATTCTGACTTTCTATGACTAGTGTGCATCTTAGTTTTTGCTTTATTACCAGATGGTTCATAACTGTTTTCTAGCTATTGGTATAATTTTTCAAAATAAGGTTTGTCTATAACTGCAAAAATCCTGTGATAAGTACAGTTGTAATAGTCTACTTGAGAGAATGTTAAACCTTTTAGCAAACTTAATTTGTAGACAAACTGGATATCTGATTTTTATTCTGAGAGTTATACCGTTAGCTGAAGTTGAAATCTATATGATATGTTTATAAAGCACAGATT